ACACCTGGCCTCTGATCTCTACGTGAATGTATAAATGCTCACACACACACAAACACACACACACACAAGAATAAAAGCCTACCTTCAGGAATAGACATATTTCCTATCATCTGAACTAGTTAATTAACAATTCAGAGAAGGAAGCACACCCTCTCGGTGTGGTTTTGTAGGTGATGACTGCATTCATTGGTGTCATGGAAGTCATGGAGGGTGAGCCATCTTGCTGTGCACCTGTCCCAAGCCCACCTAACACTGGAGCCCTCGATGGACCACAGCAGAGTTCCAACCAGGCAGCACCTCTCCCAGCCTCCTAGAATCACGTGCTAGGCGAACTTCTCTAACCATCAGGAAAACATGACTGTCCTGTCCCGAAAGAGTTAAAAACAGAGGCTTAAGGTGGCTAACTTCCAGGGAACCCTTGAGTGTCTGTTTAGTGAAGGCATGGGAAGCCAGCAACTATCTTGAGGCAAAGACAGAAAAGCAGGCTTTTTTCCCTTGGGCCAAGAGGAGCGTGGCAGGTTGAACCACCTCAACAATTGGCCAGAGGAAGCTAGATTTCACTGGTGCAAAGGCCAGTGGTTCTTTGTGTAGTTTTCCACACTTCAGACTAGTTTTCATAACCCAAATCCACATTATAAAGTTCACTATCACATGGGTGCATTCCTAAGTGCAACGTGATTAACACTTTCTTCTGACAACATGGGTTTGTTTTGTTAGGACTTTTCCAGCAGGCCCAAGGCTATGTTCTCTTTAGTGTGGCTATTTTTTCCCCTTTTCAGCAGTGAAAGGATGACACACGACAGGAGCGGTAAGCTAGAGAGGCTGAGGAGACTGGGAGAGAAAAGTGGTTGTGTTGAAATCAAAGTTGCTCCAGACTTAATGAGACACAGCCATGGGCAAGTCATCAATAGGGCACTGAATGATAACCGGGCGTGATAGAATGCACATCACCACAGGCCCCCCACGGCTGAGTGACCTCACTGTCCCCAAATACAGCATGCTCTCACCCACTCATGCCTTCCTGTCACTCCATGCACCCCTCCTTTGGCTCACCACCCCCACACACGCAAACAACAAACTTCTCAATATCCTTCCTGCCTGTTCTGCTCTCCACAGATCTCCATTCTATTCCAACTCCCAGGGAGCCCTAAAGAGTGATGCATTATGGGAGGACACCTCCTGGGAGCCAAGCAAATGCAGCAAGCCCTTATACTTCACTCCTTGAACCTAGGGCACAGCAGGGATTATTGTCATACTCTTATTTTCATCACTGTCCTTGTCCATCACAGCTAACCTGGTAGAAATGAAGATAATCTAAAAAGACACTTGCATCTCTCCAACATCTGACTGTCAAACTATTGGAACAATGGACCCTCAAAACTGGGAGCGTTGTGTGCACCCCCCCCCATCACATGCTGGGTGAAGGAAGAGACCATCCAGGAGAACTTGTCTCCCAGATCTAGCAGCTTGTCAGCTGCTTAAAGAGCGGGAATGAAGCTCAGACAATGATGGACAATACCACACCTTTAGAGGAAAGGCCTGGATATCTTTGGCCTTTTATTTAAACTTGCTCGAGCTTCAGGGTCTTAGTCAGAGAGAGGCTCACTGGATTTCTTTACTCCTCTTTCCAGTGTGATCACATTGAGTAAATTGCCCTTTTCTCCTTTTTCTATTAATTCGGCTGCTTTTGCTGCCTTCTTAAGGAGGGGTGGCTGTTTTTGAACTTTTGAGGTACAGACTGTGACCCCAAGTTCTGTAACACCATCACTAGCTATTCCTTTCCAAATATTCACCCCCGATCAGAGGGCTTCCCCCTCCCTCCTTCCTACACTCTGTCAGTGGGAGTCATGACCACAAGACAAACACACAGCCCCTCTACCTGGACACGAGCTCACTGAAGAGTCCTAGATGCCACAGATGTCAGCTTTTAGGCCAGCTAGAGAGACAGAACGGATATTAGTGTTTTAAAGTAAGAACTAACTATACTGGGATCTAAGCCACCCAAGCGGAACATAAGCCCTCAGGTAGGCGAAAGGTGGGTGGAATGGGGACAGGAAGAGGGACAGTGGGACTGTGGGGGACCAAGGCCTTCCCTAATAGCCCTCTCACAAGCTCCCCTCTTCTGAGACTATCCTGAAGACCCAGCAGCCCAAAGCAGGCTTGCAGGACCCTCCCTCTGAACTCCAGGGGAGATGCCTTTCAGTCCCTTTCTCAAGATTAGGCTCTCACAGGCTGGTAAAAGCTGTGAGCTTATTTGCAAGCCAGGGTCATATCTGCCTAGCAACCCATCCCGAAGACTTTTGAGGGACAAGTGTGGACAGGGAACAGGCAGGCCAACTCTGCACAAAGAAATCTGTTCTCATGCAAATGACCCTAAGCAAAAGGGCTGGGGTGGGGGGGAGGGAGCCTGAGGCAGCTCTGAGGAAGCTGCTCCCCCTCTCCTCCCCAAGAAGATGCTCTTTCACAACACACTTTCCTGCCTGGCCTTAGGCAAAAGAGCCAGAGGGGGCTGTATGCCTGCTGCACAGATTTCCACTGACCTATTGCAGAGGCCAACAGTACAGCCCAGCTCTTAGCTTAATTTCCTGATTTTCCTGGTCCTGTACTCCAGACTGCAAAGGTCCTTTTGTTCTTACTTAGGACTAAACAAAGTTAGTTTTGTTTGGGGGGGTTGATTAGCATGGTAATGCAGTACTTTCCCTGAAGAAGTGAGAAAGCAGAGGTTTTAATCTTTTCATTGGAGCAGCCAGTGGGCTTGAGGAGAAGGATGTGAGGCCAGTCTCTAACCAGCATTAGCAAAAGTCACCAGCTTGTGGCCAGCCAGCAAGGCTGGATTCCACCCACCTCTCCATTATTCAAACACTCGCAGTCCGAGTCAACTTTATAGGCACTAGTTGCAAAGCAGGCCTGCGGGTTTCTACAGATGTCATGTGACAAGGGCTCTTGCCTCAACCTGCCCATCTCTAAAATGGAGATCATACCTACATTCACAGAGGGAGGGCTAGTGACAGAAACCAATCCACACAAGGCTGAGCTAAGCACGATGGAGCAGAACTATAATCCCAGCACTTGGGAGGTGTAAATTCAGAGGATCAGGATTTCAAGGTCATCTTCACGGGACTCTATTAAAAAAGAAAATTACAAACAAACTGGGCATGGTGGCGCATGCCTTTAATCCTAGCATTTGGGAGGTAGAGGCAGGCAGTTATCTGTAAATTGGAAGCCACCATCAGCTACAAAGTTAGTTCCAGGACACCCAGAGCTTCACGGAGGAACCCTGTCTTAGGGGAAAAACATCCAAACAAACAAAATCACATGGATGGCACTTAATTCAGGATCAGGAACAACACAAATATTCAAAAAATTATAACAAAATAGTAGTAATGCATTAATAATAGTACAATATTGTTACACCCTCCAACAACCAGGTTTCATCGGGCCAATCATTCATTGATTGCTAGGGACTTCAGGCTTGTCTAATTTTTAAAGATGTTGAAAAAGTAGGCATCATGGAACATGCCAGAAATCTCAGCACTTGGGAAGCCGAGGCAGGAAGATTGCAAGTTCAAGACTAGCCTGAGCTACATAGTATAACAGTATCTTAATGCCATTTCTAGCCAGGCAGAGTGTACTCTAGTCAGAGCTACTGCACAGGTTGAGATTGGAGGATGGCAAAAGCCTAAGGCATCACAGACCGTGAGGAAAGTCTGTGGCCCCACTGCCTGTGAGGCTGAAGCAGGAGGATCTTCAGTTTTGGGCCAGTTGTGGTTTAGCTGGTGCGGTCATATCTTTAAAAAGGCAAACAAAACAAAAAATAGGATCGGGAGGCTGGAGAGATGGTTCGGCAGTTAAGAGCATTGACTGTTCTTCCAGAGGACCCCTGTCCAACTTCCAGCACCCAGTTACAGCAACTGTCTGTAACTCCAGTTCCAGGGGATCCGGCACCCATGGCAAGACACCAATGCACATAAAATATAATGAATGAATGAATGAATGAATGGGATCAGGAGTTCAAACATAAGTTTGAGGCCAGCCTGGACTACCTGAGATCCTGTCTGTGGTGGGGAAAAGTATTATTCCTACGAACTTGCCGGCTATTATTCAGTGGTAGCCTGGCAGGATTGCAGTGGCCTTAGTAACACACTATGCATCAATACACCTGCTCCCCATTTAACTCACACCGGATGTTAGTTAGCAGCACTGTATGACTGAGTCGTCAACTGTGTGTGAGAGCGTGTGTGTGTGTGTGTGTGTGTGTGTGTGTAGGGGAATCAAACAGCAAGAGAGGGTTTTTATTAAAATTTAGAATCGGCGGCTCCTCCCTGTGGCGACCCTCCAGGCACTCTTAAAGTACGTTCTCTCAAGTTTCTAATGTCAGAAAGAGTCTCTGAACCACAACCAAGGACCAACCAAGGGGTTGGCGAACTTGGCAGGGAAATATAGAGAAGAGCGTTTGCTAAGAAGCAGTTCCCAAATTTCCCCTAGAGATGTGTGATGGAGTCCAGGAAACCAACTTTGCGCCCCCTCTGGCTCTGAACTGTCCCTAGTCCTCAGGCGCACGTTGTCCTCGGGAGAAACTCCTAACTCGGGATTCCCGGGCAGCATCCATTTAGTTCATAGTGACCTTGGAGTCAAGGGGCTTGGAGATGTGGGGATCCCGATACCCCATAGAGGCCTCCCCGGAGGTAAGGCAGCCTTGCACCTGTGCCGGTGTCGCCTCCCGCCTGGGCGGGTGCACGCGCACGGAGCAGAAGGGGGATGCTGACTCAGCCATGCTTTTTTCCATCCCTTTAGCGCAGCGCTGATGCTGGTTGCTGCGGCTGCAGCCAAGGCGGGGGAAGGCAATGCACCCGCAGCAGCCGAGCGGCAGGCTCCTCGGGGCCCACTGCGGCACTCCCTCCTCATGCCCGGAAGGGGAACTGGCGGGGCGCGCGAGTTGACGAAATTTTGGGGGGAAGTGGTGGCTGGAGGAGGAACTCGGGAGCCCGCGCGTGCTCTGCTCACACCCAAACTGGAAGGAACCTGTTCAGTCCGGGGCCAGCGACGCGCGGAACCAGCCCCGACGCGCGCCTCCCCTGCCCCCCATCCTCCTCACTGGTTCCCCAGATCCTCAGGGCGCGGGCGGACCCGGGAGCTGCGCTCAGAGAGGGGGTGCCGGGGCGCACTCGATCGCCCCGGGCTCGATCGCCCTCCCGCTCTCACTGCAGTCAAGTGCCGGGGTCCGATCGGGCCGGGAATCACACGGGCACGCGCGGATGAGGGGATGAGGGCGTCGGGCCAAGGACCCCAGAGGCGTCGGCAGGGATGGGCGACTCGCGATGGCTGCGCGGTTACCTTCTGTGACCCCCAGCCCCGGCAGGCGGCAGGCAGGGCGCGTGCCTTGCGCGGCCCCGATCCACGTGGGCCCGCGCGCGCGCACCAGGCCGGCCCCCTCCTTGCAGGCGCTCGGCGCTCCCAGCACATGGTCGGCGGCGGCGCGCCCCCGAGGCCGGCGGAGACCGGCTGCAGCCGGTATAGGATAAGAGATAGGCAGAAAGACGCGGGGCCGGGGCTCGGGCGGCGGCACGCACGGCCCGGGAGGAGGAGACCCGGTTGGGGGGCGGGGGGAGGGTGTGGCCCGGGTGGCCGAGGCTGGCGTGGGTTGGGGGCCTGGGTGCTCCAGGCTCCGGGCCAGAGCCAAGTTGATAGAGACTTGGGCCCACGCCCTAAGGGGTTAAACCTTTTCTCATGTTACGGAGCGGTTTATAAGAAGGCTCGGGAGGCCCAGCCTCCGCCTTATTGGGAGCCTTTTGGGGTTTATTCTCTTCCCTTCTAACTTGGTGAGTTGGTTTTTTTATTATTTTACATGCTTAAAAGTTTGATTGTGGGGGTGTGGGCTGTTTTTTTGTTTTTTGTTTTTGTTTTAAATATGAGTGTTGGGGCCTTTTTTTTTTTTAGGGCGCGGGGGGGGGGGAGGAGAAAAGCACTTAACATTCTCACATTTTGAAGAGGTTAATCCGAAAAATAGCCTGACAGTTGGGAGTGCTCGGGGCCACCGGGGTGACGCGCTCTCGGGCAGTTGTGAGCAGCTGAGAGCTGAATGTCCATGACCCTAGACAGATGGGTTCTGGGAAATACCTTAAAGGGTGGCCTGGACTTTGATTGTCCCCAACCCGGTGTGAAAGGACCTTGGCTGTGAGGAGAGTCCGGCAACCGTCTCAGACCCTCTGGGTTTTCCACGTGAAGTTGGCTGCGCGTCGCCAATGTCAGAGAGGTACCTTCCTTCCCCAGGCTCGCGCGCGCGCACAAGGCGCCACTGAGGCAGGGCGAGGGAGAGTGGGACTCCAGGTCTCCATCCCCTATTACCCCACTCCCCGGGGCAGTCCTAGGGGCAGACAGATTTCTCCTCGGAGCATGGGTCCCACACCTTGACGGTCTGCACTGTCACCTACTGCCAGTCGGTCCCGCGCAACTTCTATGGTTCGCGGGGCTACCAGCGGCAGCAAAGTGTCTGAGCTGAGCGGCTCCAGGCTGGGGGAAACGATTTTGCAGAGGAAATAGGTTCAATTTCCTTCTTGGTTGTTTTCAAATTCCCTGCACCCCGGCAGACAAGTGATAGAAGTTTTGTTAGGTGGCGTGTAAAATGTCATCAAACACGAGAATGGGGGGAGGGCCATAGAAAAAGCTCTCGGGGATCCAACTGGGGAAACGCAATTACAACTTGTTAACCTGGTAGCTGGTTTTGTTTGCACAGCTAGACACTGTGCCAGCTCCTTTTGCGGAAGGAGGCTGTTACCTTTCGATTGAGATTTCAGCCTCCGTAATCTGACTGGGTTTTGCAAACCGTACTGATGAGTGGCTAGCTCCTATGCTGAGCTCTCCCCAGTACCAGCACTATTACGTGGCTTTGGGGGTGGGAAGAATACCCTTGAAACACCTTTCCTGGTAATTAAGGGAAGGGAGTTTAAGATGGAAACTGACAGTACGTAAATAAACAATGCAGCCAAGTGGAAAAATGATCTTAATGAGTACCACTAGCCCCGAGTTTTCCTTCTGTGGTTTCCAGAAACAGGACTCTTCCTCAGTGGAACTCCCGAGGAAGACACTTAAATTAGGGGCTTGGGTTTCAACTCAATGGTCTTGCAAAACGGATGAATTGGTTGTAGCCAGTGATTCATTCAACTTGGCTGAGGCAGCTTACCAGGTTAGAGTTGGGGTTTTTGTTTTTTTATAGAGAGAATTCAAATAAGCATCCCCCCACTCAGGAACTGGGGCTAGCGACAAGCCATATCCCCCAGGCTACACCTTGAAGGAGATTCCCAGTACTTTGGTTCTGCTGACAGCAGCCATATCACTGCCTTCCAAGACTCTTGAACTTCGATCGGAACCGACCCTAGGCTAACCCATAGGCTTTCTGATAATTCAGTATTTTTATGTCTTCATGTCAAATCCTTACAACAACACATTAAAAAGTACAGGGAAGGTCCCAGGTAACACGTATCTCCAAGTCTTGTAGGATGCCCATTTTTTTTAGGGTGTGCTACCGCCACTCACTCCCTTCTGTGAGATGGAGGAGCCCAAGCTGGCCTGAAACTCACTGTGTAAGCGAGCCTGGTTTCAAACTCATAGCTCACTTCCTGCCTCGGCTTCCTGAGTGCTGGCTGCCTCTATAGCTCTATGAGCACAGAACCTCACGCTCCATTTTTTGTTTGATTTTTTTTTCTTTTGTTTTTTTACATTCTCTCCTTTTTCATTCTTGAAGGAGACACTAAGATAACCAAAGGCTACTAGGAAATACTCTAAACAGCCCAGCCTTTTTTCCTAAAAGACATCGGGGGCCATGGGAGGAAGCCAGCGGGAGCTCAGTCAGATGAGCAGAGTTTCCCAGTTGGAAAATACCATAGAGACTGCTTTCACAGATGAAATTTAGCCATCAAGAGATTTCTGCCAGGTAGAAGATAAACCCACGGGCCTCTCTGTAGGTGGTAACCAGAGCCAATCAGGGTCAAAGGCCTGCCCTGGAATTGCCTCTTCTTAGGAGGAGAGATCAGGACTCAAGACTCTAGTTAGGTTCAGAATTCACCAGTTGTGAACCCTGAAATTCAAGAAGAGAAGTGGCCGCTAGAGATCATCAGGTTGCTTATGCAGCCCTGCTCTTTAGGTCCCCCAATGCCTTTCCCGGCAGGAGCAACCACAACACCAAACCGGCAGGCTGCCTTTGCGTTCTGTTACTTGTAGAGGCTTTTGAGTAGCCTGGTCCAAAGGTTAGGCCTTGGTTACGTGTGCTCTGGATGACAGGGAGCTAGATGGCCTGCTGAACGAATGGCAGAAGAAAGGGAAGGGCCTAGGAAACCGCTTGTTCTACAACAGACACTTCCTCGCTTTACAACTCCTCTTTATAAGGCATGAGCTGTCCATGGCTTTGGGGGTGTCTCAAGATTCACTGTTCAGTAAACTTTGAGGGGGGGGACTATTTTTGTTTCTGTTGGGTTTTAAATGTTTATTGTTTTGCTTTGGGGGCTCATTTGTTTGTTTTTCTGTTTTAGGGGGAGGAAGAAAGTAGACAGTACTGTATAGCCCAGGCTGAACTTCAACTTTTTTTGAGACAATCTTGTTGTGTAACCAAGCTGGCAATCCTCCTGCCTCAGTCTTCTGAGCAGACCACAGTGCCCTGTTTGTTTAATTAAGTTTTAGCTATCATATGTGATACACAAAATGTTATGCAGGCAGTAGGTCTGGGAAGAGTAGTTGATTGCTCCTGGGTAGGGGTTGAAATAGAGTCTTGTTTTAACCTGAACTAGCCCAAACTAGCTAGGTAGCCACAGGTGACCTTGAACCCCAGATACTTATGCCTCCACCTCCCACATGTTAGGTAGCATGCTTAGCATGCCCAAGCTTTTTTGTTTTGTTTTGTGTTGTTTTTTGAGGCAGGGTTCTCAGTGTAGCCTTGGCTATCTTGGAACTCACTCTGTGGACCAGGCTGGCCTCAAACTCACAGAGCCCACCTGCCTCTGCCTCCCAGGTGCCACCACCACCTGACAGTACCCAAGCTTTCATGGTCAGTGTTAGATATTACATGCCAGTATTATGTCCTGGTGTGGCTTCCCCTCTGTTACTAAGCTACATTGTGGTCTTGGCTCACAGTCATCCACAGCAGGACATAGGATGCGCCAGACTCATTCGGGGAGGCCATCTTACCTTTATGATGATCCCAGGAATAAAGAAGCAATTTCTGTCCCCCTTAAACCAGGATGAATTGGGCATGACTGCCTTATGCTTCTTAATCCCAGCACTTGAAAGCCGAGGCAGGAAGATTGCTGCAAGCTTGAAGCTAGCTGGAGCTATAGTATGAATATAAGTGAAAGTTACATTTGGTTGTAGCCACAGCAGAGGCATAGATGGAAAGCGGGATTTTAAAGCGCAAGCAAAGGAACTGATCACTGGGGGGGGGGGGGGGTGTTCCAAAAATAAACAGGCAGACGTTCGCTGTCTTCTGGCAGCTGCCACAGAGCAAGTCTAGTGTTCAGCTGCTTCACACCCACCCAGGCAAAACCCTCCCAGGCTTTACACTTCTGCTCTTACCTCAGTTTCCTTGGGCCGCCCACTAGGTTCAGCCTGAAAAATCAGCTGATGAATAGAGCTTAATGCTAAGGTAAAAAAATGTCAGCTTCTAAAAGCTGGACTATGTGAGAGCATCTCCAGTCACTGCTGGCTTCGGTAGAGCACGCTTTTAAAAATCCCAGCACTTGGGAGCTAAAGGCAGGCAGATCGCTACGAGTTCAAGGCTAGCCTGGTCTATGCCCATATCAAGTTCCAGGACAGCCAGAGCTACATAGAGAGACCTTGTCTCAATAAAAAAAAAAAAAACATCCAAGGGACTCTCCAGTCACTTCTTAACTGAAGAGGAGGGCAAGCCAGAGATGGGAACTGACCACCCCAAGCCACACGGTTGTGTGGCTAAACAGTTTAAGACCTCTGTACGTGGAGGTCAAGAGTACTTTGGGGGTGGTGTGGTGACTGAGTAGGTAAAGCTGACACCCTAAATTCAGTCTCAGGGACCCATCTGCTGGAAGGAGAGAACCAACTCCCACAAGATGGCCTCTGACCTCCACATGTTCTCTATGGCATGAATACACCCCGCACTTCCCAAATCATGCGTGTAAATAAATAAGCTAATGTAATTAAAACATTTTTTTTTTGAAGAGTGCTTTGTCAGGCTAGGGGTTATAGCTCAGCTGCTAGAGTGCTTACCTAACATGGATGAAGCTCTGGCTCCCTAGTATCACTTAAGCCCAGTGTGATGGCTGATGCCTACAATCCCAGCACTTAGGAGGTCTTGGAGAAACAGAAGGGTCAGAAACAGGAGATTCAGAAGTTCAAGGTCCTCCTCCATTCCACAGTAGTTAAGAGACCAGCTTGAGACTGTCAAAAACACAAAGGTGCTTTGACAAAAATGGCTTCCTCCCAATAAACGTAGAAAGCACTTCCCTCCCTGGCCTTTAGTCTGTTGCTCTGTTGGCCTACACAATCTGATTCTGGACTCTTGGGGCCAAAACCTTTACCTCCCTGGACCTGTTTCCCTGTTTTGCCAATGAGGAAGAGAACAAGCTGACTTTGGACTCCCCTGCAGCCTCAATCTCCTGAAATTCTGATTTCCTTTGAAGGCTGTAGGCTAACCCTAGCACCACCCAGCGGTTTCGAGAGGGGTATGAGCAGCTGCAAACAGAACTTGGAGGTTGTCTGGACACAACCTTCTGGTGTAGGTGGGGACTTCAGTGTGGCTCAAACTGCAGCTACAGTGTAGTTCTTCCCGTCCACATAAAATACATAATTTAATCGACAAAGGTTCAACTTGTCTCCCTGGGATCTTTATCCCAACATATTTCCGTTCAAGCTGGTCCAGAGGACACCATTAAGACTTTCTGGCCAGGTGATGGTGGCACACACCTTTGGCCCCAGCACTCGGGAGGCAGAGGCAGGAGAATCTCTGTGAGTTCAAGGCCAGCCTGGTGTACAGAGTGAGTTCCAGGACAGAACAATCAGAAAGAGAGAGAGAGAGAGAAGCTAGGTATGATAGTCAAGACATGAAAATCAGATTTTGTGACTTTATAATCTAATTGAGCAAGTAAGACAAATGCATGAAAGTAATGACTTCGCATTAAGTGGTTCCTCTCACGTGAAAACGAGACCACCTTAGTTGAGTTTATCAGAGGAACCCTGATGGTGAGCAGGGCTGTGGAGGGTGCCACAGCAGCTCCAGAGACTTGCGTGCAACTTCAAGAAATGACATGGCCAAAGGCAGGGTAGCCAGCAGGAGCCTTTTTTGACCTTGGCAGGTGAGTCAAGTTTTAGAATCAGAAGGAAAAAAGCTACCAAGATAGATTGGGATCGGATTGTGAGGTACGAGGAAAGTAGGGTTCATTATGAGTAGGTTTTATCCTTCAGAAAGAGCAAAGTGATTCAGACACACTCACACACACTCACACACACACACACTCACACACACACACTCACACACACACACACACACACACACACACACTCACACACACACAATGCAGCGTGGCCAAAGGGTTTATTTTTTAGCAGGAAGGACCCTGTGGACTTCACAAGGAACAGGTCCAATAGATGGATTCGAACGACAGCCAAGGCCTTGACAGCTGCAGGCTCACCGCCACTATGGCCTCCCCTTCCCCAGGGACAACCACTGTCCCAAAGCCAAAGCCAGGAAGTACTTTTATTCTGTTGTCTCCTGAACCACAGCTGACTGCCCCAGCTGCCTGTCTTCAGGGTGGCTTTGGAGAGACTACTGATGAGGAGGAGTGTTATAGAGATCTCCTCTGCTGGCAGACTCCCGACTCCCATCGTAGACCGAATGCTTTCCATGTCCAGGACACTACTGACTGTCCTGAAGCTGCCCAGACTCCATGCTGGAGCTCTTTCCCAACCCTTGCTGCCTTTTCATTCGCTGGCAGGCATGATGTGCAGCCTTAAAGCCCTTTGCTGCAGTCAGCATAGGCCTGTTAACACACCCCATGTCTTTTTTCACTCGGCCAGCCTAGCTTGTGCGAGGCCCTGTCTGTATCCCATGCTCAGCGCTGCAAAGGGAAAAGAAAGAAGCAGCTCTGCCTTAGGCCTTAGTTGTGTGAATATGGCCACCTAAGTCAGGAGAAGAGCTGCGTAAACATCCTGAAAAACCTGAAAAATTCATAATCCTTTACTGTTTGTTTTGGGAAGGGGAAAGGTAGTTTGTTTTGTTTAGGGACAGGATCTCATGTAGCCCAGACTAGCCTTGATCTTGTTGTGTATGTATCCAGACAAGAGTCCCTTCTGTCAGTATGAACCCCTAAAACTATGCATTAAGGTATCACTATGCAACACTACTTTTTAGTTGGGCTAAAAATATATATACCCATTTTGAAAATTTCCAGGATGTATAGTTTATCCTATGAACTCCATAGGCTCTAGAACCCTCTTGGAAACACACATATGGGCTTATCTGAGAAGGATTGGGCTGACTAGGAAGCTGCTCCTTAATGCGTAGGCCCTCTCGAGGCTGTGTAAGAAGAAGCTGGAGAGATGGCTCAACTGTTGAAGGCTAAGCTCACAACCAAAAATATAAGAAGGAGCCAATTGAGCAGAGAGTCATTGTTTTCCTCTTCTTGACTATGGGTGACTAGCTCTCAGGCCACTGACTTCCCCACCTTTGGACTGCATCCTTAAACTGTGAGCCAAAAGAAACCCACCCTTCTTTAAATTGCTTTTAGCAACAAGACGTTGACCCAGCCTCCCTCCAGTGTTAAGTTAGTGCTCCCATCCCCCATTTGTTTGGTTTTTGGTTTTTTGAGACAGGGTTTCTCTGTGAATTTTTGGAGCCTGCCCTGGAACTCGCTCTGTAAACCAGGCTGGCCTCGACCTCACAGAGATCTGCCTGCCTCTGGCTCCCAAGTGCAGGGATAAAGGTGTGTGCCTCCACAGCCTGGCAAATTAGTGTCTTTTACTTAGCTGCCTTAAGGCTCAGGATTGCTCAGTCTGTTGTAGTTTGAACAGAAAGCCATAATGAGATCAGGGGTAACTTGGTAAAGTTGACATGCTCAGGGCCTCTCGGGGCTGTAATGCCTCATTTAGCTAATGTTAAGTATTTGTCATCTGTTCTAAAATCTATTTGCTCCTGGTGATCAACTTTGAGGAACAGAATCTAAGTTCAGAAAACTCTTAGGTGTTCATGGAGAGTTGTCTTTTGTCCAGAAAGAAACCTCTATACCTGGAACACCAAAATACTAATCAGGATGCTATTTACTGAGGGGAAAATGGGAGCTAGAAGGGCCGGCTGGGTGACCTGAATAGGCAGTGGTACTAAATAGAAATGCACAGGGAATCACAAGCTACAAGGCTTGTTCCCTGGAAGGTGCAGACACCTTCCAGTGTCCTCTCAGTGAATGGCTTCCTTCTTTCTTATCAGCATGCCACGTGGCCAATGCATCTTTTCCTCCCTCCCTTTCTTCCTTCTTTCTTTCCTTCTTTCCTCCCTCTTTCTTTCTTCCTCTCTCTCTCTCTTGTTTTGTTTTCTGAGACAGGGTTTCTTTGTATAGCCCTGGCTATCCTGGAACTCAATCTTTAAACCAGGCTGGCCCCTGCCCCCTGAGCGCTGGGACTAAGGTGAGTGTCACCATGCCTGGCTCCGGTTCATATTCTTTACCTAATTTACATTCTTTGACATCAGCATGGATACTTGGTCTAGTGAGCCTTCTGCGTCCTTCAAGGGAGCCTTCAACTATTCTCCTCAGGTTCCTTGTCTGTTTATTGTTCTTCCCTTTTAATTATGACAGAGGGGGCCTTATTTTCAAATTCTTTGTGGGGCCCCATGTATTATTCAAAGATAGATATAAGATTGTATAAGACTATGCTTAACTCGACATGATTTGAATATTTAATAAATAGGTCTTGTCAGTTATGTTTGCTAAAGATGATTAGATCAGCTCGGTATGGTGGTATGGACCTTCCTTTAATCCCAGCATTCAGAAGGTGAAGGCAGGATGTAGTCGCCCTTGCATACATAGTGAGTTCAAATTCAAGGCCAGCTTGGTCTGCGTGAGACCCCACCTCACAAGAGAGGCAAAGATGAAGAGAAGAGAGGAGAATGGTCAACCCTCATGTTGCTGGTCTGAATTCTTTTCCTCATGTTTTAATTTCAGATCAAGAATGACCCAAAAGAATCCGAAGCTTTGTTCCAGAGCCAATGTGTATACCCAAGTGCCTGATGGAGGATGGGGCTGGGCAGTAGCTATTTCTTTTTTCTTCGTTGAAGTCTTTACCTATGGCATCATCAAGTCATTCGGTGTCTTCTTTAATGACTTAATGGACAGTTTTGATGAGTCCAACAGCAAGATCTCATGGATAATATCAATATGTGTGTTTGTGTTAACATTTACAGGTGAGTACACGAATAATACTGACATGTGTTTTGGTGTTAACAGTTACAGGTGAATATGTGGGTGATACCAGTATGTGTGTTTGTGCTAACATTTACGTACCAGTGTATCTGTCAGCACAAGCCTAGCCTGTGCACCTGCCCTTTTAATATGCCTACCTGACAGCAGTCGGTGTATCTGTGACGCATTCTCCTGTTGAACTGTCTAGGCTCGATTAAGGATTTCAGCTTTCAGAGGGTTGGGGACCGGCAAGCATTAGGAGACATTGATTAAAAGGCCGTGTTTGCCAACTGTAATGTCTTTAGTCTAACACACCCATTAGATACATACTGTCTGCAGCTTGGGAGGTAGAATGCTTGCCTAGCACATGTAAGGCCCCAGGTTCGATTCCCAGCACCATACAAAAAGAACAAGTGAGATACCTATAATATCCATGGTGCTAGTAGTCTTTGAAGACAGTGGCAAACCCCAGTTCTCCACGGATGTAGTGACTGGCTAACAAAGCGACACCCAAAAGTCCCTAGGCGCTAGCTTCAGTAGCTCGTGCACTAAAAATGGAGCCCTACAGAAGATTAGCATGGCTTCTGAGCAAGGGTAACAGGCAAATTCATAAGGCATCTCATTTTTTTTTTAATGATTAAGGATGTTTTGCCTGCATGTGTATCTGTGCATCATGGGTGTGCCTGAGACAAAGGAGGCTAGAAGAAGATATAGGGTTCCCTGGAACTGGAGTTATAGTTTTGATTCACCGTGTAGGCACTGGAAATTGAACCCCAGTCCTGTGGAAAGGCAGTCAGTGCTCTTGATTGCTGGGCCACTTCTCCAGCCCCTCTGTGTCTTTAAAAGGAAACTCATTTGGGGCTGTAGAGGTGGCTCAGCAGTTAAGAGAACTGGCTACTCTTCCAGGGGTCCTCAGTTCAATTCCTAGCAATCACACGGTGGCTTGCAACCATCTGTAATGGGATCTGATGCCCTCTTCTGTCATAGAGTTGTAAATGCAGATAGAGCACTCATACATAAAATAAATAAATAAACTCTTGAGTGGATGGGACGGATTTGAACATACATGCCGACGTCTCGTGCTCACCTGTCTGTAATAGGCAACACCACGGCTTCCCTCAGAGGACAGGGTGCTGAGCTTGCCTCAGGAGGCCAGCCAGGCTGCCTTTAAAACCTTCCCTCACTCACCCACTACCACGCAACATCGCCTGTGAGGTTACTGCTGAAGTTAGAACCAGTCTCTGAGTGTAGTTTATTTTGGCCATATAACATCCTAAAAGGCTGCTCTATCCTGTTGGTTTGTTTTTGAGAAGAGATCTCACTATGCAGAAGTGGTTTCAGCAGCACAGCTATCAATATAAGCTTGCAGGTGCTTGTGGTCAAGCTGATAGAGTTTAATCTCTGAGCCCCACGTGGTAAATGCAGAGAAACAACTCCTCCAGCTACCACTGGTTCTCCCACATACAACATACATACAATGTTAGAAGTTTAAAAATACATGTTCTCATTCTGTATACTCACAGTAATGTGTAGACTAATTCCAACAGAATTCTTTCTTTTCCCTTCCCATCCCTTCTATCTAGTGTGTTCCTCTTTGACCCAACTCGCAGTGGCTCACATATCTTACTGCCCTTACGCTAGTGTTAAGTAGCATGTGAGCAGGAAGGAATTTGCTAGATTTCAGTGGCCCGGGGTAAGGAGTGTATAGAAGCCAAGCAAACTAAGATTTCTCCGTGTTCCGAGTTAGCTGCTATCTTTTAAGTGAACATGTCTGAGAATCGGCCTTATTTCCATCCTGGATTGTTTTCCGGACAGTCAAATGAACTAAGTAGACATCGACCACAGACGGGATTCTCTTAAAAGAATCCGGAGCAGTGATGTCAGAAAATAAAAACAATTAGAGAGATCACAGGGAAAGCCAGGGTACGCTGGAGACCCAAATAAATGGGTGTGTAGCTTTGCATTGCACGAGGTAAGCCAGGATCATCCATCTACAAGTATATTTTGTATACTCACCCTCATCAATGCTGGAATCTAAGGCTTTGTTTGTGCTGGGCAAGTGCTCTACCCCTGCTATGTCCCAGCCCCTCATTTTCCTCCTGTTATCTTGTTGTTGAACCCAGGACCTGGCTGCTGCTAGCAACTATTCTACCCATGAGCTGCATCCCCAGCCTTCTTTTAAATTTCTGTCTAGGGTGGCCTTGAACTTGGCAATCTTCCTGCCTCAGCTTCTTAAATAGCTAAGGTTGCATTCTTGTACCAAGAGGCCTGGCTCTTTGTGTTTTAAATCGAAACCAATGCTGAAATAACCTCTGGCCTGACCCATAGCTGCTGCATGAAACACACCAGGTTCTTACAATCGCCCCTTCAAATGCACAGCTTGCCGGAAGTGATCACAGCAAAGTCAGCAAGAAGCCCAGGTTAACAGGTTACTTTCTGTTCCTTTGCCCCTGCAGCTCCCCTCTCCACAGTCCTGAGCAACCGCTTTGGCCATCGGATGGTGGTGATGGCGGGAGGGCTGCTTATCAGCACAGGAATGGTTGCTGCATCCTTCTCCCAAAGGGTCTACCACATGTACATCTCCATCGGGGTCATCTCAGGTGAGGGTCTCTCTCCCTGGTTCCACAGCTCTGAGTTCTGCTCCACTTGAAGAAGGGAGGGAGGGAGGAAACTGAACCCAAATTGTATTTCTTCTTCTCTGATGGGAGATGTCCTTCTGCATGTATGTTTCTCTTATTGGTTGATGAATAAAACACTGCTTGGCCGATAGAGGCAGGAAGATGGGCGGGCTAGAAGACGAGGAGAATTCTGGGAAAGGTAGGCAGAGAGAGTTGCCATGTAGAGCCTGGGGAAGACAGGACACGCCAGGAGTTCTCTGGTAAGATAAGGCCATGTAGAAATACATAGATTTATAGAAATGGGTTAGTAATAATTAAGACAGAGCTAGCCAATAAGAAGCCTTAGCCACTGGCCAACAGTTTAATAATTAATATGTCTTTCTGTGCTTATTTGGGGGCTGAAGCGGAGACTGTGGAACATGAAAATGCCAGCTATACGTTTTCCTTTTTCTTTCAAGTTGATTATGTCTGAGATCAGTGATTTTTGAACCAGGTGATATGGTCCCCATGTAAAAATACATTCTCAAGTGTCCAAGAACTTCTGTTTGATGTAGGGAGGAAAAAAAATTTACTCATAATAAAGAGACTTTTTCTCATTTCTCTAGTTTGAGGCCAAAGTGCATCGCTTTCACAATCTGAGACTTAAGTTCTTGTGCTGGCCTTTCTCAGTTCCGAGTCCCCTGTGCTTTGTATGGGGAAAGCAGTATGCCACACTTATTCTTGGGGGTATCCAAGAGTTCACTGATGGTAGGTGATATTTAAGTGTCCACCCAGTTTGCAGAATCTAAACTTTGTGTAGAGTTCTGCACACATCAAAAGACTACGTTGGCCAGACAAGCATGTGTCATCTTATCACTGGAGAGTTAGGCTCAGGCAGGGAGATCATGAGGCAAGTCTCCAAAGAATAAAGGACAAAAGACATTCATTTCAAATTCAAATATTACTCAGAAACTACTTTTACTGACTGATCCCATTGTGAATTAATTGTATAAATTTGTGGTGCTCAGGAGAACGGTCCTCAGCTGTTATATCTTAGTATCCCTAAATGACCGTCGCGGCATTTCCTTCCTTATTTTTGAGACCATCTTCTATATCCCTGGCTGGCCTCCAACTGACTATGCCTAAGGTAACCAAAGGTAACTTTGAACTCCTGACCTTCCTGAACGCTGCGGTTACAGGTGTGTGTTACCACACCCAGTTTTACGTGGTCCTGGGGACCAAACCCAGGGCTCCATGCATGCTAGGCAAGCACTACCAACTGAAGGCCTGAGATGAAATCCATTTTCTTTGGCATTTTCTGTAGAATGAATGGGTTGGCCCCCACAGCATACAACTTTTGTACAAAGCTCCTTGCACACTAACGATGCCCTCTAGGCTCGGACCATGTATAGTTCTCACTTGCCTTTTTGATTTTCACCTACAGGTTTGGGGTACTGCTTTAGTTTCCTTCCAACTGTCACCATTCTGTCACAGTACTTTGACAAAAGGCGTTCAGTAGTCACTGCGGTTGCTTCTACGGGAGAGTGCTTTGCTGTGTTTGCTTTTGCACCAGGTAGGTGAGTGACAGTAGCTCATTAGCAGGGGACCAGGAAAGCCACTCTGGTGCCATTGCTGTACTAACTTGGGCCGACAGTGTGGGTGACTCTCGCTCTGCGTAATGAGATGTCACTTGCTCTCTCTTTAGCACATTTTTAGGATATCCTCCTTCTCTCCTATTTTAGGAATTCACACCATGTTATCTTAGTCCAAGTTTACATAAACGGGTACATAATCGGTGGTAAGACTTTCTTGAAACACGAAAAGATAACCCCTAAATTATTTGGTAATTTGGACCGTTTATATTATTATCATCTCCCTTTCCAAAAGAGCTACATTCAGTGTAGATTTAAATTACGCCAACAAAATCAGTTTTCATACGTGTGCATGAATTATCTCACTTTATCCCTGGTTTACCTCCCCCCAACTTAATGTTAATCCATGAAATGCAAGGAAAGTAATGTAATAGATAGATAACCTTCCGGGCCCAAATTCCTTTCTTTCTTTTCCTTTCTTCCCTGGTTACATGCTGGGCAAGCATTCTACCACAGTGCTGCTGCGTGCTAGCCTGATGACTGCATCAGGTGGGTTGCAAGGTTGCAAGCAGGAGTGATTAGGAGTGAGGTATTCTTATAATACCTGCATTTTTTCAGGTGAGTCAGATAATTGTATGTTCACATACACACACACACACACACACACACACACACACACACACACACACGCATGTACGCACAGTCAGAAGTCATGTTAATTGTTGAATTTAGGTGAAGGGTGAGCGTATTGCTGCCATTCTCTCCTTCTGTTCCCATTTTTTAAAAAAATAAAACATTGACAAGAGAAAGAATCAATGAACCATGAGTTCCCTGAGGGTAGAAACAGTGTATTTTTCAGCTAGCACTGGGCACCCTTCCTGGCATTTGGTACATACTTAAGAAATGTTACCCAAGGAGCTGGACAGATGGCTTGGTGGTTAAGAGTACTAACTGCTCTTATAGAAGACCCAGGTTCAATAGCCAGCACCCACCCACCCACATGGTGGCTCACAATCATCTGTAACCCCAGTTCTGGGGGATCTGATGCCCTCTTCTGGCCTGTGAGGGCACTGCTTACATGTGGTACACAGATACATACTCAGACAGACACTCACACACATAAAATATAAATAAAATCTCCAAAAAGTTTGGTGTTTTGGTTTTGGGGGGTTTTGTTTTGTTTTGTTTTGTTTTTGCAGTTTCACTGCAGTGAGAGACTCAAGCCCTCCTTGACCATCTCCCTCTGAGCTGCCTCTGCCCTGGGTTCACAGTGAGAGACCAGTACTAGGTCACTAAGGATAGGACCAAGGAGACACTTGAGTACTATACCCATAAGTGCTAGGGAAGAGAGAAAGTCTATCTTTTGGTCCACAACAGAGGCCTGCAAACATCCATAGAAAGAGTGGGCCACCCTCCAGAACCACTGAGAAAGCCCACGGTGTCAGGGCAGGCATGCTTAGCAATTTGCTATCCACAAAAGGGACAGGCAAAAGGGAATGTCACACTTTTGAGTCAGAACGCAGAAAAGCAGGCAGGCAGGCAGGCATCACAGTGAGGGTCATGGCCAATACTTCTTGTTTTATTTTTTATTTACTTCATAGATACAAAGACGGAGTGCATAGGATGTATAGTGATATGGTTCCTAGTTGGATAGATTAGGTTTACAAAAGGTCAGAGAGAAATAAAAACAAAATACTTTATTTTTGTGGTACCTGACAGTAGAGCCCAGGACCTCCTGCATGCAAGTACTCTACCACTAACATATATTCTCAGCCCTGAGAATCCATTCAGCTTTGGGGACTCTCTCTCTCTCTCTCTCTCTCTCTCTCTCTCTCTCTCTCTCTGTGTGTGTGTGTGTGTGTGTGTGTGTGTGTGTGTGTGTGTGTGTGTGTGTGAAAGCGTCTCAATTCTACTGACTCAGCACAAAGCATCCATCCACAGACTATAGGAGTGCACAAACCTGGTTCAATTCCAGTCCAGTTTTAATAACAAAAAAGAGACAATGGGTCAGGTTTGGCCTGTAGGCCATGGCTTGTTGAACCTTAATGTAGCCTCCTTCTTCAGCCTCTGTCTTAAAAAAAAAAAAAGAAAAAAGAAAAAGAAAGAAAGAAAAAAGAAAAAACACTGCCCAAAGTTTTCAGAAAACTAGGCTGACAGTTTTTAAGCATATATATATTATAATAAGCATATACATTTTCTTATTCATAAAACACACCAGAATACAGAATAAAGGATAGTCTACAGGGCTGGGGTGATGTCGCCATGCAATGCAAGAATAAGACCATGAGTTTGGATCCCCGGCAGCCATGTGAAAAGCTGGTTATGGTGGCAGATGCCTGTATTGCCAGCACCAGGAATATGGAGACAGATGAATCCCTGGGATCAACCAGTCTTGCCAAATTCCAGATTCAAAAAGAGGGTCTGTCTCCAAGAGTAATGAGGCCAGGAGTGTAGCTCAGTGGTCAAAAAACCTGCATTTAAAAAAAAAAAAGTGCCAGATGGTGGTGGCACATGCTTTTAATTCCAGCCTTTGGGAGGCAGAGACAGGCGGATTTCTGTGAGTTCGAGAACAGCCTGATCTGCAGAGCTAGTTCCAGGACAGGCTACAATGCAATACAGGGAAACCCTGTCTCGAAAAACCAAAAAAAGAAAAAAGAAAAAAAAAAAAAAGAAGGAAGAAAGAAAGAAAGAAAGAAAGAAAGAAAGAAAGAAACCCAGCATTGGTCTCTGACCTCCACATGGAAATATACATTTAACTATCCCCCACCCCCCCACACCCAAAGTATAGTCTAGAATGATTTGCATTCATCCTAACTGAGCAAAATTTGTTATTACGTTTTTATCCATATTTCTCCTGGCTATTGCCTACTGGACCTGAAGTCTATTATTGACCTTGGATTTCCCTTTCTTTGCTTCTGTCTCTTCAAGCCATCACAGCTCTGAAGGAGCATATTGGCTGGCGATACAGCCTCCTCTTCGTGGGCCTACTGCAGCTAAATATCGTGGTCTGTGGCGCCTTGCTAAGACCAATCACTATCCAAGGACCAGAGTCACCGAAAGCAATCACTCACGAACCCCGGAGAGAAGTGCAATATATGCTTGAAAATGAGAAAACAAGAACCTCAATAGACTCCATCGACTCAGGAGTAGAGTTAACTACCTCACCAAAAAATGTGCCTAGTCAAGCTAACACAGAGCAGGAAGCCAGGGCTGAGCAGCAACAGACCCTGGTGGCTGGCCCCAAGCACAGCCCGAAGGAAACCCCACTGCTAGACTTTTCTATTTTGAAAGAGAGAAGCTTCATCTGTTATGCCTTGTTTGGCCTCTTCGCCACGCTCGGCTTCTTTGCACCTTCCCTGTACATCATCCCTTTGGGTATCAGTCTAGGCATTGACCGTGACCGAGCGGCATTCTTACTATCTACAATGGCCATTGCTGAAGTGTTCGGAAGGATCGGGGCTGGGTTTGTCCTCAACAGAGAGCCCATTCGGAAGATCTACATTGAACTCATATGCGTCATTTTACTGACAGTGTCTCTCTTCGCCTTCACTTTTGCTACTGAATTCTGGGGTCTCATGTCGTGTAGTGTGTTTTTTGGCATCATGGTCGGGACCATAGGAGGGACCCACATCCCACTGTTGGCCGAGGATGACGTCGTTGGAATCGAGAAGATGTCATCTGCAGCTGGAGTCTATGTCTTCATTCAGAGCATTTCAGGGCTGGCAGGACCACCCTTGGCAGGTAATTAAATTGCTTTTTCCTCATTTATTTGTGGGTATGCATGTGCCACTTACTTATGGGCGTGCATGTAGAGGTCAGAGGACAACTGGGGCAGGCACTTTTCTCCTTCTACCATGTGGGTCCCAGGGACTGAACTCAAGACTGTCTGTCTTGGCAGCAAGCACCTTTTACACACTGAGCCATCTCAACGGCCCGTGCCAGTTACTTTAAAAACACAGAATACAAATCTGTCTACTTTAATCTTCCTAGTTGTGCTGGCTTGGTTCATGGGACCGATTGTAAAGTCTGCTTCCATTTTTACACTTGAGTTAGATTTTAGTTATTTAGAGATTACAATAGGTAACCCTCTTGGTTTTAAAAAGAAAGGAACTAAAAAGCCTTAAAATTTAAGGGAGTGGTCATTTTTATTTTATGTATGTTGGTGTTGCCTGAATATATGTATGTGCATCATGTGCATACAATGCCTATTGAAGCAGAAGAGGGCACTGTATGCCCTGGGACTGGAGTTACAAACAGTTGTGAGCTACCATGTGGGTGCTGGGAATTGAACCCGGGTCCTCTGGAAGAGCAGCCAATGCTCTCAACCTCTGAGCCATTGTTTCAGCCTTTCTTAAGAAGAAAGAGCTGGGCATGGTGGTGAAAAACTATAATTTACCGTTCTTGAGAGGTTGAGGCAAGACGATCATAAGCCTGAGGCCAGACTAGGCTACATAATGAGTTCCAGGTCCCCTGGGTCTGGAAAAAAAAAGTGAAAATAACTCACAATGATTTTGTAGTTCCATTAATCCAAAAGTCATGTGTCAATAAGGTTATAATGTACACGGTTCCCCTCTAGCCTTAGACAAGGCAAGGTAACAGAAAACACGTGAGGCTTGGACTTGCAGACATGGGTTCTAATCTTGACTTACATTACTGGATCACCATGTGAGCACTGCTGTGAGTCTAAGGCCAGGTAGAACACAGGGAATTTCAGGGCAGTTAAGGCTAATTGTGGAACCCTGCCACAATAAATAAACAAATAAGATAGTAGTTCAGGCTAAGAGATGGAGAAAATTTTGGACTCAACAGGAGCCCAGGTAAGAGAGAGAGTGTGTGTGGTAGCTATGTCACTAATAATTCCAACGCTTTCTTCCAGGCCTACTGGTCGACCAGAGCAAGATCTACAGCAGGGCCTTCTACTCCTGCGCAGCAGGCATGTCCCTGGCTGCTGTGTGCCTCGCCCTGGTAAGACCTTGTAAAAAGGGCCTATGCCAGCATCCTCATTCAGGTGGAAACCAGACTGACAGCCATCACAGGAAGGCATTACAGGACATACCAGAAGACTTTCTGGAAATGGATCTTGGGAAATGTGAGCACAGGGTTCATATGAAAATGGATCCAGTGTGACACATTTTCATGTCATAGCTTCTATGTTGCCTGGGAAAAGAGCCCCTGGGGCAGGTGCCAACCACAGGGCCCCATCTTTAAAACTGCATAAAGGGAATGCATGTGTGAACAGCAGTATCAACATCTTTCCCTTTCCCGTAAGTCCTTTTTGCTTGCTCTTTAAGCCAAAACCAAAACAACCAAACACTTTCCATACAGGAATCCAGCCCTATTCAATAGCAATACAAAGATGCATGGAAGGGCGCTGGTTCACATCCCAGCACTACAACAATGCAATGAACTGGCAAACTGGTGTTCAAATTACTCATGTGTGTAAACTATTATTTTATAAAGTGACATCCAGCCCAAGTCATGCAAATGAACTGGCCATTCCAAAAAGAAAGAAAAAAAACAATCTCCAATCATTTAAAAAAAGTTGCCGATTTTCAGAAATATAGGTAAATTTTTTTTTAAGCAATTCGAAAAATTATTTAGGTTTAAATTGACAAATTATTGTTTCTGAGTTTTTTCAGTATTGCATAGAAAGAAGGCAATTCTTTAAGACTAAGCATTTGATTAATATGCAAAAAAATTAAAAACGTGTAACAACTTGAACTTCAAAGATTGCTACTTCTTTTTATGTCCAGCCATCACAAGTATTTCAATTGAAATGTTAAATCGCATTTCCTGAAGAAATAAGTGACTGTAGTATTTTTTAATTTAAACGGCTATTTATTATTAAGTTATTCTAGGATGATTAGAATGATCAAAAGAAGGGTAAAGGTGTTTGCTGCCAAGATTTACGACTTGAGTTCAATTCCTCGAATCCACATGGTAGAAAGAGAACCAACTTCTTTGAGTCATCCTCTGACCTCTACACACATGCTATGACATGCATGTGCCCACATACATACACACAAAAAAATGTTAAAATGTTAAAAAAAAAAACCCTAATAATCAGAATAAATAAAAGATGATATACACACTCACACACTCCCTCCCCTTTTTTCTTTTTGGTTTTATAAGACAAGGTTTCTCTGTGGAACCCTGGCTGTCCTGGAACTCCCTCTAGCCCAGGCTGACCTCAAACTCAAGTGAGTGCTGGGATAATAGGTGTGTGCCACCTGGCTACACAGCATTTTTTCTTTTACCTTCTTTCTGCAGCTCTTAAAATTCTTCAGAGAGCATTTCTAGTCTCATAACATTAATCTCCTGACAGCCCGAGCTGTAATGAGTCCTTGGCGTTGTTAAAGGCAAGGTGTGCTATTTAAAGGGGGTGGGGGGTAATGGATGGCAAATAGCCTGCATTTTTAAATTATCACCTAAGAATACTTGAGGATCTTCTTTGACCAGAATTATACTTTTATTGAATTGTTGGAACATTGAGTTTTTTGTTGTCGTCGTTGTTGTTATTCAATCTTTAACTGTTGAGGCATTTCTTCGTTTCATCTGAAGTAAAAGAAACGTTTCTGTCACTATCACAAGTTACAAGTTGTAATTTACATCTTCCATAGAACTCGATTGTCCTAAGTTGCCATGGGTACCAGGTACCTAGTCACTGCTGTTGGCAAGTTCCACTACATGTGTGTATAGTGTTCTGCATTCTAGCACTTCTCTGTAAAGGGGGCAGTGTGAGGATGAGGGGGGCTGCCTTCTTGCCTGTTTGACTGCATCTCCCCAACTGGGTGGCCGGTACTTGCCGCTCAGTATTTCCTCATCTTTACTGTTCAAGACAACTCAGGGGGAACATCGAACAAGCCTAGTTTGGTTACAACAGGTACACACAAGCTTGGATCTTTCTCTGCACTTAAGATGATGGTGGTGTAGTTCTCACCACAGGCTGGCTACCTTTTATACAGCATCTTATTAGCCATAGAAATGGGATAATCTGTAAAACTTTGGGGAGGGTGAGTGACTTGAAGACAGAGTGTCTGTCCAAAAAAGCCGGACACACCTTAAACAAGGTGGATGTAGCAAAGCTCTGTGGGGCGGCCCCGAGAAACGCGTTAGGCTTGTGGGCAGCTTTGCAGACATCAGTGACTTCAGCACTTTACGACCTATTTTATACTACGAATGTTCAATACGATTTAATATTTATAACTGATTTCTGAGGGGTCTGCTCTAAGTTTGTTCTGTTTACTGCATGATGCAAGAACATGTATGCCCAATTTCAGTATGTCAACAATCAGGGTTGTAAATGTTGGGAAGGGAAAAGAAAAACACAGGATCGCTGATTTGTTCTGTAGGAGTGACATTCCGGTACTTCTGGATTTACAATAAATCTATGGCTTTTTATTTAAAGAGTCTGATGCTCTTTTGTATTGAAGTGCTTTTGACTGATTTCAGAAACTGTAAAATCTTTGTACTACCCCAGGACACAGGATTCTCAAGGCATGGGTAATGCAACTCCTTTCTTTCTCTCTTTCTTTCTTCCTTCCTTTCTTCCTTCCTTCCTTTATTTCTCTCTTTTCTCTTCCTTCCTTCCTTCCTTCCTTCCTTCCTTCCTTCCTTTCTTTCTTTCTTTCCATCCGTAGTCGGGAAGCAGAGAAAAATGCCCAGAAAGTTTTAAAAAACACTTTTTTAATTCCTTGGGAATTTCATTCCAAATTTTAAAAATTTATTATTATTATTATATGTTCATTGGTGTTTTGTCTGCATGTATGTCTGTGTGAAGGTATCAGATCCCCTGGAACTGGAGTTACAGACAGCTGTGAGCTGCCGTGTGGGTGATGGGAATTGAACCCAGGTTCTCTGGAAAAGCAGCCAGTGCTCTCCAGCCCCCATACAGTATATTTTTGAGCATATTCAACCTTCATTCCTCTTCCTAGCTCCTCCCAAATTCACCCCCACTTCCCTCCTACCCCTACTTTGTAGCCTTGGATTTTTTTTTTTTTTTAAACCTGTGGATGAGTTCACTTTGTGTGATTATGGGTGTGAAGAAAGGTGGACCTATCAGAGTTTACACCATTAAAGAAAGCGGACCTCCCCTTCCCCAGACGCTGTCAATAGCTCCTTAGCTTAGCTGGGGGCTCATGAACCCTTCCCCATCCCTGCTGGGATTTGCCTGGCTTGATCTTGTATAGGCAACAGCTGCTATGGGTTCACAAGCACAGCGGTCCTGTCAAGTTAGAATACACTGGTTTTGCTCTGGTTCTCCCTAACCCTCTGGCTCTTAAAATCTTCTCACCTCCTCTTCCAACAGTCCCTGAGCCCTGGGGGGGTTGGGGGGGAGCGGGGAGTGGTATAGGTGTCCCATTTGTGTCTGAGCACTCACTCCACTTACGAATGTTCTCTGCGGGACACAACACTAGAACTTCATTTATTTGCTCAGAGTTTCACAGGCTGGCCACAAACTTATCATATCTGCCTCAGCCTCCACACACACTATGTTCAGCTGACATTATTTTATTTTTATTTTTTTGAGACAGGATCTCTCTACATAGCCCTGGCTGTCCTGGAAGTCTAGATTTGTAGATCAGGCTGGTCTCAAACTCACAGAAATCTAGCTGCCTCTCTCTGGCTCTGCAGTGCTGGGACTAAAGGCGTGTGCCATGATGACAGGCTTGACCATTTATTTTCTATTGACCCCTATAAATTAATCCAAAGGGAAAAGAATTTAAAATGGACAACAGGACAGATAAAATTAAATAGCCTAGTCAGGTGAAAAGAAACAATTTAAAATTTAAAAATGAAACATAATTTAACCTGATATCCCCCACCCCTCCACCATTTCTTTTAATGAGAGAGTCTCAACTTTGCCCTGCCTGGCTTACTTATTGCTACATAATCCAGACTAGCCTCAAACTCATGGCAATCCCCCTGCCTCATCCTCCTACATGTATGAATTAAAGACAAATGGCATCATTCCTGAAAAAACTTCATTTCTTTTATCGTGTGTCTGTGTGTGTGTGTGTCTGTGTGTGTGTGTGTGTCTGTGTGTGTGTCTGTGTGTCTCTGTGTGTGTGTGTGTCTGTGTGTGTGTGTCTCTCTCTGTGTGTGTGTCTCTGTGTGTGTGTCTCTGTGTGTGTGTGTCTCTGTGTATGTGTCTGTGTGTGTGTGTGTCTGTGTGTGTGTCTCTGTGTGTGTGTGTGTCTCTGTGTGTGTGTCTATGTCTGTGTGTGTGTGTGTGTCTGTGTGTGTGTGTCTGTGTGTGTGTGTGTCTCTGTGTGTGTGTCTATGTCTGTGTGTGTGTGTGTGTCTGTGTGTGTGTGTCTGTGTGTGTGTGTGTCTCTCTGTGTGTGTCTCTGTGTGTGTGTGTGTCTGTGTGTGTGTATCTGTGTGTGTGTGTGTCTGTGTGTGTGTGTTATATGGGTGCACTTGCTATTATGTGCACATGTGGGCCAGCCAGACTGCTCAGATAAACTTAACAACCCAAGTTCGATCTCCAAAACCCACATAATGGAAGAGAGAACCAACCTGCATGAGCTGTGCCCTGACACCCACACACGTAAACCATGGCATACATGCTCCTCCATATCCATGCACATAAGACAGATCAAAAAATGTACTTTTGAATGTAATCAAGGCGTGGTGGTACAAGCCTGTAATCCCAGCATTTGGAAGACAGTGGCTGCAAGCTCAAGATCAGCCTGGCCAGGGTTACATCCTACAGTCCTCTTTTTAAAAAAGAAAAATGTTAAATAGTGTGATGTTAAACATACCCTAAAGGTCATGACCCTACTGGGATGTGGGGCCCAGCAGAAGGGAGTCGGGCTACTGAGGGAAAGCACTTGAAGGGGGTATTTATCTCAGCTATTTTTCCATAAGGATTGGAAAGTTCCAGAAAGTCCCAAGGACTTTTCAGATCTCTAGCTTTGGCCCATAGGTTTGTTTGCCTCTTTGCTTGCATTTGAGACAGGATTTCATGTAGCCCTGGTTCACCTCAAACTTACTATATAGCCTAGAATGACCTTAAATGTCAGACCCTGCCTCCACCTCCCAAGTGTTGGGATTACAGAGACACTGTGGTTGATTTATGTGGGGCCAAGGGTTGAACCCTGGGTTTTGAGCATGCTACAGGGGCACTCCATCAACTGAAGCCTGCTCAGAATGCTAATCTCTAGGCAAAAAGCCCAGATGCCCAATGCCAAGGACTGACAAACTTTTACCATAAAGATCCAGATAGTAAATTCTTGAGGCTTTTCACATTACACAGATTATGCCAAAACTATTCAGTTGCCATTGTAAGTCCAAAGCAGTCACAGACTGGAAATGAAGGGGCATGGCTGCCTTCAACAACATTTTTATCATGGTTTCAGAAATTGGAATTTTATAAAAACAATCATATGACCAAATCATATTTGGCTGTATTGGGGAATGTTAAGACATTTTCTTGCTCATAATCTATTAGCATACAAATGGGGGAGAGGTTTGGAGAAAGATGGCTCAATACCACTCTTGCAAAAGACCTAAGTTCAGTTCCCAGCACCCAAGTGGGGCAGCTCACACCTGCCAGTAACTACAGCTCTGGGGAAATCTGACCCCATCCTGCACACACCTCAGGCACCTGTACACACACACATACACACACACACACACACACACACACACACACACACACACTTGAAAATAAATCTTAGAAAGAATTGGTACCAGGCTTAGGGGCATACACCTATAACTCCAGAACTTGGGAGACAAAGTCAAGAAGATCATGAGCTCAAGGACAGTCTGGTCTACATAGTGAATATTATTATTTTTTTTTAAAGGCAGCATTGGGATATAGTTCATTGGAGAGCGCCCTGGGTCTCATTAGACTTTTCGTTTTTACGAAAAGTAAAAACTAGGTGTGTGGTGGACTGTTTGGCCTGCAGACCATTCTTGTCCCTGCTCCATCCATGGAGACATTGCAGTAGGTTAGCATCTCAGCTCTGAAAACCAAGCTCTGATAATGGAAAGACATCAATGGTCCCGGTGTGGCAGCTCACACCCACAACACCAGCATCACTTGGGAGGCTGAGGAAAGATCATCACACATTCCAGGTCAGTCTGGGCTACTCAACTGAATGCTGAAAGACCAGAAACGGAAATATAACGAGCCAGTAAGACTAGAAAACTTCAAGGACCATTTTAGGGGCTCCATAACTGAAGTGCTTGCTGCACAGCCTTGGGTCCCGAGTTTAACCCTTAGCTCATACACAGAAGCCAACTGTAACCCAGCCCTGGGGGTGGAGGAGTGGGGCTCAACTGTCAGTCAGTCTAGATGAAAGAGCAAGCTGGCTCAGTGAGAGACCCTGCCTCAAAAGAATAAGATGAAAATAATAGAGGAAGGCACCCCCAATCATGACCTCTGGCATCCACACAGACAGAGGAGAGCTCATCTTTACAAATGTGTACCCCTCCCCGCTTGATGTACACACACAGGATCATCAAAGTCACTTTTTAAAACTAGAGAGAGGGCTAAGCAATTAAAAGCACTGGCGGCTTTTCCAGAGGATCTGGGTCCAAGTCCCACCACCCACACGGCAGCTCACAACCATCAGTAACTCCAGTTCAAGGGAATTCAATGCCTCATGTAGGATGTCCTGTGTTCTACGAATACCTGCTGCTTTTAGTTGTTGATAAATAAAGCTAAATTGGCCAATGGACAAGCAGAATAGAGCCAGGCGGGAAATCCGAACAGAATTATGGAGAGAAAGAAGGCGGAGTCAGGGAGATGCCATGTAACCTCTGAAGGGGTAAGATGCCAGAACATTACCAGTAAGCCATGGCCACATGATGATACACAGAATATTAAACATGGGTTAATTTATAAGAGAGGGTTAGTCAGTAATAAGCCTGAGCCATTGGCCAAACAATTATTCAGTTATTCAGGAACTGGCAGGCAGGACAGGAAACATCCAACTACAAATGCCCTCTTCCCAGCCTCAGAAGGTAAAAGGCAAAGATGTGGTATGCAGACATTGGTGCAGATAAAACACCCATACACATGAAAATAATAGTTTTTCATTGTATGTTATGCACTTGAGCGGAATGCCTGAATGTATGTGTGTGTACCACTTGTCTGAAGTGCCTACAGAAGCCAGAATAGTATGTGAGATCCCCTGGAATTGGAGTCACAGACATTGTGAGCTCCCATGTGGGTACTCAGAATTGAACCTGGGTCCTCTGGAAGAACAACCAATGCTCTTAACCACTGAGCCATCCCTCCAGTCCCTCAATAAAGTACTTTTCAGATCATAGGTATCAAAGGCAGGCAAGATCAGACAATGTCAAAACATTAATTAATTAATTTTTTTATTTTCCATGATGACTCTTTTCAGCCCCTTTCTCTCTCTCTCTCTCTCTCTCTCTCTCTCTCTATA